CTAAGACACATCTGATTTGAAGTATCTTTCTTCCACTTGCATTTAAGATGTCCAGGAAAAAATTAATAACTTGATGAAGGCTAGATTTAGAGTGAGATGGAGAGGGAAACTTCAAACCTATAGTTCTTAAATAGATGTAAATTTTTACTCTGTAGCAAATGTGTGATGAACAAAACATTGGCCAGAATGAAGCAGAATACTAGAGAGTTGTTTCAGGACCCAGAAAAACAGGTCTGTGTGTAATACCTTCATCATGGTTTTCTTAGGTGAAGCTGGTAAAGGAGTCTGGCTCTGATGGGCAGAGTATTGGTTCTAGGGATTCTTCTGCATCTTCCCCAGTACCCAATTCGGACAGCTTCTCCACGGACCCTATCGGATTGCCTCCTTTGACAATGCCTCCGAAGCCTGGGTAAGAAAATAAGGAAGCAGAATGAGTTCAGAGCTCCTAGAACTTAGTATTTGTGAAAATATCTGTAAGACCCAAACTGATGGCAACCCCTCTCTTGGTATTGACATCTCCTCATCAACTATTGGGAGTGGACCACATCCACCCTGACTGAATTGGCCTTGACAACACTGATTCTCTACTTGTAAGGTAACTCCCTTCTCTTCACGTGCCAGTATATTTATGCCTGTATCTGTAATTTTCACTCCATTCATCTGAAGAAGTGGGGTTTTTTACCCATGAAAACTTATGCCCAAATAAATCTGTTAGTCTTTAAGGTGCCACCGAACTCCTCATTATTTTTGTGGCTACAGACTAACACGGCTACCCCTCTGATACTTATCAATGACTTGTGTATTTTGCAATTCCACAGTCATGGAATTTGCTACACAATAATGGTACAGAATCTAAGCTTTCATATATGGTTACAAATAGCTTTCCAGACATGAAGTGCTGAAATATCTTATGATGGAAAAGTGAAGTTTTGCTTGTGGGGACTACAGTTGACGGGTATGTTCAACAATTTAGAGATGTAGCATACTGTTCATCAGTTCTTCAGAGATTTTTTTTTTTTTTTTCTAACTTTAATCCCACCATATACTTGTTTCCTCTCTGCAGAGAGCCAGCTGTTCGGGCCAAGTCTAACTCTATAAGTGAACAACTAGCAGTAAGTGTTGCTTTAGTTAATGTGAAACATATACAGGAATGTCCAAATATTTAAGTCATGCCCAAATTATTAAAATAATGCTAAGGGCCTATCTGAAATGCATGTAAGCAAAGCATTATCTCTTTAACACTTATATTGTGTTATTACCCAGAAGCCTCACTTGGGATCAAAGCCTAGTTTTGCTTTGTGCTGTACAAACATGGGAAGACTTAGTCCTTGTCCATTCAGAATTAAGATTGAAACTTTGTCCTTAAATGAACAGCAAGAGTTTTGTTTTATTTTATTTATTTATTTATTTATACTGAAAACTAAGCTCCCTGGATCACCAGTGGAATGTTTTAGGGTTTATGCAGCCTGAAATGATAGATGGATAACTTTTGTCTGTCTGTAATATACAAGCACCCTGGGGTTCATGATTTCCTTAGAATAGCCAATAACCTCTGTTCTTGAGGGAATTCTGCACCAAAAAATTAAAAGTTATGCGCACAATATTTTAAAATTCTGCGAATTTTATTTGTCAATAAATGAATGTGGCTCCAGCATGGCAGTGGGGAGCACAGGCCACTGACTGCATTGAGGTGGTAGATCACCCTGAAACCTCCACCTCACCTGCTATAGAGGCTCAGCCCAGCAGGATCCAAGTGTGGAGGGGCTTAGTGTGGGGGGGATCCAGGTGTGGGGGTGAGAGGTTTTGGTGTGGGGCAATCTTGGTACAGGTGGCTTACTGGTGAAAGTGATTGGGGGTGGGGGGGTCTGGCTGGGTGGAACTTGGTGGGAGGGTCTGGATGCTGGGGGAGTGGTGCTTGATGGGGTGGGGGTGCAGGTGGTTGGGATCGGTGGAGTGGGGGTCGGAGTTCAGCTGCAGAGTCAGCGGAGCCAAGGTCTCCTTCAGCTGGGCAGCTCTGCGCTTGCAGAATGAGGGGGGGCAGTGGCATGTAACCTTGTGTGCCCCCCCCCATGCCTTGACTCTGTTTGGAGAAGGGCAGTTCCCCCCCCAAAACTGTGCCCATGGTCACGCCCTCCCCCCCAGCTTCCCTTTGATTCCCTGCTGTTTTGGGAAACATGGGAAATCTGCAGGGGGGAGTAGGGGGATTTTCTGCAGGCACGCAGTCCTGCAGAATCCCCCCAGGAGTAAACCTCATGGGAGCCTGAAACAACTCTGTCCCCTGGGTTCAGGGGCTTTGTCATCACTGACGTTTTCAAAGAGAAACACCAGTCTTAACTCCTCCTTCGCTTCTCTGTGTCCCCTCATTTGGTAAATTGTTTTAAAATGTTGCATCTCTCATCCTGTTAATGGTTAGGGGCATCTTCAGTAGCTCCATTCTTTAGAAAAGCTTTTCATTTCACCTTGTCTAGTAGCCTGAAGGTTATCACTTGAGGGTCTGGTTCTCTTCCACTTCCCTGGATGAGGCCATGTCTATTGGAGTTAAGGCAACAGTTTCAGCCTTGAATCTGACTTGCTTGATCCTCTACAGGCATTTTAGGAGAGCTTGAGGATTTCCCTGTCATTTTTAGTTGTGATGTGGGGAACTCAAGGACATATGGGTCTATATGCTTTTTTAAAAACATTATTTGTACAAGGGTCCTTAAAGGGTAATTTTGTACAGTATTTAAGGGCTTAGTTTCTTTGGCTCTGTGGGTGCTAATAGAACTATAACGGTCTTCTCATATGTAGTGATCACATACCATGGTGATAGTCAACTTAATACTCCTTGCTATCCATTTTATTTTTAGGCCCTCAGAAGTAAAGTTTGTTAGCTGCAATAGTGTGCGGTGGTCTCCTATGTGCTACAGAATAGAATGGGCTACTCTCAAGAAATCTGGGCTCCTTTGTATCCCTTATGCAGATGGAGCACAGCCATAGAATGAAGGAGCTGGTTAACTTTGAAAATCAGTTCTAGGAGTTCAGGCATGAAACTCTCCATCTTTTGCAGTGTTGTTGTAGCCATGTTTGTCCCAAGCTATGAGAGAGACAACGTGGGATATTATCTCATCTCTTACTGGACCAATTTCTGTTAATGAAAGAGACAAGCCTTTGAGTTTCACAGAGCTCCTCCTCAGGTCTGGAGAAGGAAACCACAGTGTCCAAGCTAAATACAAGGTGAGACAGATTAAGCATAAGGGATTCACACCTGTTGTAGAAGACAACTTAAAATTAATACCTCTGCTGTTGTAGGACAATTGAGAATTTGTAGGCAGCAGAGTGTTACAAGTTGTTGTAATGGGCCATAAAACCAGTCTCTCTGTCAAGTCCATGTTCTTGAGTGTCCAGCAGAATTATGAATTTAAGGTCCCAAGCTCGTGTGGTGAAGGTGTCGTGCAGGTTTCCTTTAAGGACGAGGACTGAAGTCAGATATGGAGTGATTGCTTTGTGAAAAGCGTTTGCCAGTTGGTGATAGGGTGTTTTGTGTCTTATCATTTTTCTGCATGAGTTCTTCTGAGAGCGTGATGACTGTCTAGTTTCACCTACATAGCTGCTGTTGGGGCATTTGATGCACTGGATGAGATACACACATCTATCACAACATGTGGTGTAAACCCTATGAATCTAGAAAGATGTGTTGTGTGGGATATTGATTATTGTAGTGGAGATATGGCTGCAGGTTTTGCATCTATTATTTTCGCAGGGTCTGGTGCAGGTTTGAGTTGGTGTGTCCTGGTCTGTGGACAGCTTTCTTCTGATGATTTTGGAGAGGTTGTGTGGGGTTGTCTGAAGGCCAGAAGAGGGCATTCTGAAAGAAATATTTCCTGGATGTGGTCCCCATCAGGTATGGGTTGTAATTGTTTGATACCCCATATAGGGTCTAGTGTGGGGTGGTAGCTGACAAGTAGGGATGTGCATTGGTGGGTTTTTTTCTGTATTGAAGCAGGTTCTCTTGTTGTTTGTGGGTGGACTGTTCCATGTTGCAATCTACTTCTCTGGTGAAGTGTCCTTGTTTGATGAAGGCGGTTTTAAGTGTGTTAAGATGTATATCTCAGACTTCCTCCTAAGAGCATATTCTGTGATATCGGAGTGTCTGTAGATAACAGATTTCTTGGTGGGTCTTGGGTGGTTACTGGATTTGTGAAGGTAGGTGTGGTGATCCTTGGATTTCCTGTGTATAGTTGTCTGTAGGGTTCCATTGCTGAAGCTTATCATGGTGTCTAGGAAGCTGATGTTGGTGTGGAAGAGCGAGTTTGATAGATGGGGGATGTGGTCACGGTGGTTGAAGCTGTAATGGAAACTATGAAGGAGTTTAAGTTGTCTGTTAACTTTAGAGGATGAAAATATCATTGATGTATCTCAGGTATAGTACTGATTTTGTGGTGCGTCTTTCTGGAAGCTTTTCCTCAGTACCCCATAAAGAGATTGGCATGGTGGGGAGCCATCCTAGTACCCATGGTAGTTCCCATGGTATAGACAAAGTGTTTTGTTAAATGTAAAGTTATTATCAGTGAAGATAAAACGGATGAGTTTGGCTATGTTTGGGTTGGATTTCTGTGTATGGTGCATTGTCTTGTAGATGCAGTAACTCCTCACTTAATGTCCCAGTTAATGTTGTTACATCGCTGATCAATTAGAGAACATGTTTGTTTAAAGTTGCACAATGCTCCTTTATAACGTTGTTTGGCAGCTGCCTGCTTTGTCCACTGCTTGCAGAAAGAGCAGCCCTTTGGAGCTAGCTGGTGGGAGGCCTGGAACCAGGGTGGACCAGCAGACCCTCATCAGCTCCCCTAAGTTCTCTGCGTGGCAGCCACCCAGCAGGCTATCAATTGCTGGTCAGTTCAGGTATCCCTTCCCCCACTGTCGTGTGCTGCTCCTGCCCTCTGCTTTGGAGCTGCTCCCGGGAGCCTCCTACTTGCTGTGCAGTGGGGGGGGGGGGGAAGAGGGGTGCTGATGTCAGAGTCCCCCTTCCCCCCTGTTCCTGTACCCCATCTCCACAGAGCAGGGACGGGACAGGACAGGGCTCAGGATGGAGGGAGCTTGCTGGCAGCAGCTGCTGTCTCAGCTTGCTGATCTACAGTAACTCCTCGCTTAAGGTTGTAGTTATGTTCCTGAAAAAATGCAACTTTAAGGCAAACAATGTTCAGCAAATCCCATTTCCCCATAAGAATGAATGTAAATAGGGGGGGTTAGGTTCCAGAGGGGAAAAAAATTTCACCAAACAAAGACTAATATATACACACACACACACACACACACACACACACACACACACACACACAC